GTATAACCCACTAATAATATCGTCGTTTGAGGTGTAAGCACGCGCAATTTTAGAATGTGTTACTCTGGTCTAAGATTTACTTCCTTTTATATATAACATTTTTCTCGTATTTTATTGCTGTGAGTTTTTCCTAAGATGTTACATCTAGTGAATCATAATGCGATGTGCCAAACTCAAAGTATGTTTGTCAAAACAATTTCTAAATCAAACGATGGCTGGAGTTTGTTCAAATCTAACATATATAGAAGGAATAAAATCCACCGGCTAATGCATTTTTTAATCAAACAATGTTTGGAGTATGTTAAAACTTAACATGTACAAAAGGACTAAAATCCTTGCTATTGCTTGAGTGCTACGTTGGAGGACTTGTACTGTTGTATACATGCAATAAGACATGTTACTTACATGTCCACTTTCTTTTGTTCAAAATTGAATAGCTTATTATTGTAATGAAACAGTAAAGAAGAATATGCAAAAAGAGAGAATTACAGTGGAATATAATCCCTTTATTTATAGGAAAAAAGTGACTTAGCCATCAAGTAACAAACTCTAAAATCTCTCTAAAATATAGACATTCACCTTAAATACAATTCTATTTATAACACTCCCCCTTGAATGTCTATTTAAAAGATGTGCCTCATTAAAACCTTAACTAAAAAAACTCAGTGGGAAAAAAAATTCTAGAGAAGGAAAAATAGTACACATATTTAGAAATACGCCTTTTGGTTGCCTCGTTAAAAACCTTGCAAGGAAAATTCAGTGGGACAAAACCTTGTAAGGGAAAAAGAATACAACGCATATTAACTCCCCCTGATGAGAGCATCAATTCACATCTTTGAGCCTTCGCATCCCAATCTTATACACTAGTTTCTTGAAGGTTGACGTTGGTAGAGATTTTGTGAACATCACTTTAACGAATATGTTGCACATTGATATCACCATTCTTTTGAAGATCATGTGTGAAAAATAATTTTGGTGAAATGTGCTTTGTCCTATCTCCTTTTATGAATCCTCCCTTCAATTGGGCTATGCATGTTGCATTGTCTTCATACAAAATCGTGGGTAGTTTGTCACACTTTAAACCACATTTGTCTCAAATAAGATGTATTATAGATCTCAACCATATACATTATTGACTTGCTTCATGAATAACAATTATCTCAGCATGATTAGATGAAGTAGCCACGATTGATTGCTTAGTCGATCGCCAAAATATGGTAGTGCCTTCACATGTAAACACATGGCCTGTTTGAGATCGAGCCTTGTGTGAGTCAGATAAATACTCAGCATCGACATAACCAATAAGATCAGGACTGCAATCATTTCCATAAAATAAACCCATATCGGTAGTCGCTTTAAGATACCGGAATATATGTTTGATTCTATTTCAATGTCTCCTTGTAGGAGTTGACACATATGATGCTTCAAGAAATCAAAACCTTTCAAATGCGAGCAGCTCTTATGTGGACAATTAATGACTTTCCTACCTATACTATGTTATCTGGGTGGAGTACAAAAAGAAAGTTGGCTTGTCTATGTTATAATTATGGCACTAATTCTTGCTATCTAAAATATAGTCGGAAAATGTGTTACATGGATCATCGTATTTTTCTGCCCATGGATCATCCCTGGAGATCCAACAAAAGGTCTTTCAATGGAAAAACAGAATTTAGGCCTCCTCCAGAATTGTTAAAGGGAACAGATGTGTTCAATATGTTACAAAATGTTGAAAATGTATTTGGGAATACGCAAAAGAAATCAAATTCCGGCCCATGGATAAAAAGGTCGATTTTTTTAATTACCTTATTAGTAACATAACTTGCTTTGCCACAACCTTGATGTAATGCATATTGAAAAGAAGATAGTTGACAGCATAGTTGGAACACTTCTGGAAATTTTGGGCAAGACGAAGGATCATGAAAGTGCTCGTTATGACCTTAAAGAGATGGGAATTAGGAAGAACCTTCAACCAAAAGATACAAAGGATGGCAAGAAAATAAAGCTTGCACAAGCGTGCTTTTTTATGACTAAGGGCGAAAGATCCACATTTTGTGGTGTTTTGAAGAATGCAAAGCTACCCATGGTAGTGCTTCAAACATTTCTCGATGTGTGCATCCAGGTGAAAAAAAATATCTAATTATAAGACCTATGATGCACATTTCATGTTGCATTATTTGTTGCCAATACCAATTAAAAGCATACTTCCTGATCATGTTGCTATTCCTTTGATTCGTCTAAGTTCCTTTTTTTCGCGGTTTATGTCAAAAAGTTATCATATTGGAAGATCTAGATTGTTTGGAAGTAGAGATTCGAGAAACAGAAAATCAATTTGAGTGAATTTTTCCTCCTTGTGTTTTTGATATAATGGTTTATTTGCCTATTCATTTGCCGAACGAGGTAAGATTTGGAGGTCCAGTTTAATGTCGCTGGATGTATCCTCCCGAAAGATTTATGTGTAGGTACAAGTCATATGTTCGCAACAAAAATCATCCAGAAGGATCTATTGCTGAGACATACTTGGTTGAAGAGTGTCTAAATTTATGCTCTAGATACTTACATGTGGGTATACATACCAGATTTAATAGAAGACCACGAACAATGATGATTGTGGTTCAGTAGATGAGCAAACTTGTAGTTTGTTCCCCAACAGAGGCTGTCCTTTAGGAGGAAAAAAAGTGTCTCAGATGATCTAGACGACAAGTCACTAAGTCAAGCACATAGATACATATTGAACAATTGTGATGAAACTCAAGAATATATTAGGCAATTTAACTCATTTGTAGTATTTTCTTTTATATGAATAATTTTAAAATTATTTTATATAATTTTTGCTAACAAATAACAATACTTGCTATGTAAAGAGCATGAGCTTGAAGTTAATAGTCATAAGCGAAGATCTAAATGGAGCAAGGCCAAGAGTCATAGTCAAAACTTCTCCCAATGGTTCGAAAGTCGTATTATGCATGGGGATGTGCCTGATTTTATAAAAAAATTATCTATAGGACCAAATTCAATTGCTGAAAGATATTATGGGTATCTCATTAATGGATATAGATTCCATACAAGGCAACGTGATGCAAAGCGTACAACACAAAATAGTGGTGTTACATTAGTTGCATTAACTAAAAGTTTTGCAAGCTCCAAGGATAAAAATCCGGTTGGTGCAAATTATGACTTATTATGGTAGAATAATTGATATCTTTGAGTTAGATTATTTTGGACATTTTAAGGTTGTGTTGTTTAAGTGTGACTGGTATGAGGCTGAAGAAGACACTTATGGTCTTACTTATGTCTACTTCAACAAGAAATGCTACCAAGAAGAGCCCTTCGTGCTAGCATCACAAGCACACCAATGCTTCTATGTACAAGATCCATATGATCAAGACAAACATTATGTTATGAAGACTTTCCCGAGAGACTTGTTTAACATAAGTGACAAATTTGAATTTGATGTTCCCTACTGTTATGAAAATGAGCCGTATGAAAATTCAATGAGCCCATCTATACCGAATGATGATGGTGAAGTTGTCTTAATAAGGAGTGACATACCTGCAACCATAATTAATGTGCCTCCAGAAGGATATAGTGCTCAAGAAGCTGAAATTGAATCGGAAGATGAGTTTGATATTGAGGATACATCATGAATTTGATTCTAATTTAGAAGTTGAATGCTTGTAATATGTTCATATCGAAAAATAGTTCAGTTATTTTTTGATTAACAACTAGAGAGACATTAAAAACTCATGCTTTAGATGTCAAACTGATGACATTTGCTTGTCGATGCTTTCTTGTCTATTTCATCTATTTCTATTATTCATTTGTTCGCTTCTTATGTTCTCTTCTCGATTTACTTTATATTTTCTAAGTTCATTTGTTTCAGCATTTATGCACAAAGTTTCTATGATTCTACACAATGTTTCTACATTTTCTGCATTTTTGCACAGTGTTTCAGCATGTCTGCATAGTATTTCTGCAATTCTGCATAGTGTTACTGCATTTTCTGCATTTCTGCACATCATTTCGGCAAATTCTGCGTTTCTGCAAAGTGTTTCTATGTTTTCTGGATTTCTTCACACTATTTTTGGATTCTGCACTTTGTTTCTGCATTTTCTGCACAACATTTCAGTATTTCTGCACAACATTTCGACAATTTCTGTATTTCTGCATACTGTTTCTGCATTTTCTGCATTTCTGCACATTATTTTAGGATTTTTGCATAGTGTTCTGCATTTTCACGTGGCGTTCCGCCAATTTTTGCATTTCTGCACAACGTTTCAACATTTTCTGCACAGTATTTCTGCATTTTTTGTGCTGCATTCCTACAGTTTTGCATTTTTGCACAGCGGTTCTGCATTTCTTCACAGTGTTTTTGCATTTTTGCATAACGTTTCTATATTTTTTGCATTTCTACACATTGTTTTGGCATTTTTTGCTTTCTGCATTCCGCATTTCGGTATTTTCTAATTAATTTTTTTCCTCTTTATGAAGAATGAATGCAGGAGCAAAGAAAAAGAGTTTGAATCCAAACAAAGCTCAAAGTCCTATGAAGAAGATAGGTTTTGATTTTCAGTTTCGATCAAGTGCTGAATTGGCCAAGCAATTTCAGATTAATAAAGAAAAATTAGCTCATGATAAGGAGCATAGAGTTATGAAAGAGCAAGCACCAGTAACTCATAAATGGAAGCATCTTATGCCCACAATATCTAATGCAAGAGAAGAACAAAGTAGACAAAAGGTTAATTCAACCTGGGGAGTCCTTTCGACAGCAAGGAAATGGTAAATTACCTATTCACAAATCCATAATCCAGTTGTCTTTGAAGGAAGCTCTTAACAATTCACATATGATTGGAAGAAGACAAGGAGAAGGAGAAATTTACAAAAAAGTGAAGAGGAAGCTGGTCTTATCGACAACGAGTCTTGATCATTTTCTAGGGAAAAAAAGAATATATGCGGGCGGAGAAAAATAACCTGATAATCAACTAGTAAATGGTTTCAGATCTATGCCCTCCCCTCTAGTTGATGAGCATAATATAGAATTGGATGATTTTGCTGCACAAGAAGAAGTTGGCGAGGATGAGTGTGTTAGAGACAAAGCTATGGACGTTGATTCTGCTACATGTGGTATATTTTAAACCTAATAATTTTGTGTGTTTATTGTATTCTTTTCCTTATGTTTTGGTTTTTACATTAGGGACATCAGATAAGAAGAAAGTTCGAGGTCAAACAAAATGTAAGATGATTCATGCAAGAAACTTTGAGGAAAGACAAGAAGTGACATTTAATAAAGGACAAGCTGTTGGACCAACCAACAAAAGAGTGTCTGAGTTAAGAAACTTTATAGGAACAATTATCACGAATCCCAGATTTATCACCTTGTTGTTCACTAGCTGGCATGCTGTCACTGATGATATTAAACAACGAATATGGGAATATGTCAATGTAAGAACGTTAATTTTCAATTGTGTATCTTATTGTATTTCTTACTAAACGAAGATAACATATATGTTATTTTGCACAGACCAAGTTTATCATTCCAGCAGAAGGAAAGAAATGGGTGATGAATGGTCTTCGCGATTCTTGGAGGCGACACAAGAGAATTATTAAGAAGAATCATTTTGATGGGTATCATAATATTGAAGATATGCTAAAACAACGTCCCGCTGAGATATCAGAAGTTCAATTCCTCCAATTGATTGAGTATTGGAGGAATTTAGATGTTCAAGTGAGATTAAATTGTGCATTTCTACTCTTGAACATATTGTTACATTATATTTTTTTCCCTTTTTGATTTATTAATTCCTAAACTTCTTTTGGTTCTAGGCCATGTGCAAATTAAATTCTGAAAATAGAAAAAAACAAAAGTGGAGGCATCGGATGGGACCTATTAATTTTGCCAGAGTACGTGTGACATTGGTATTTATTCGATACTTTATAAAATATATGGCTTTCATTTCTTTACATACTTTTTTTAAATACATTTATGTTTGTTATTTATTTCTATGATATAATTTGTAGCGTGCAAGTAAAGAGAACAACAAGGAACCATCTAAGTCTGAAATGTTTATTGCAACTCGTACAAAACAAGAGAAGCAAGTTCATGCAGATGCTCAAATTGCAATAGTAATCCATATTGCAACTAATATATTTTCTGGGACTTAGATTCTTTTTATGGTTCTCATCATAAGTTTTGGCAGTCTGAACTTCAGAAATGTCAAAACTCTGGGGAAACATCGGATGAAGCATTTAGAGTAGTGTTTGGAAAGGAGCAGCCTGGTCGAATACGATGCTATAGCAGATCAGTGACAACAAGTTCTCTGAAAAAAGATGAGGAAATCAATAAGATCCAACAAAAGCATAACAATGAAGTCTCTACTTTGAAAGCAGGAATACAAGAAATGATAGAAGAAATGCATGAATTAAGGCAAATGCGTCATTGCTTTAATCTATTGGTGCAAAACAATCCTATACTTTTTAGTTCAGATATACAAGGATTTGTTGGATCTAACCAACCTTCTTCAGTTGATGCAAGTAGCGCACAAGCTGTAAAGGGCCAAAATCTCTCATATTCCTCTGGATCAATCCGTGGTCCAATTCTTCAAAAGGTATTTAGACTCCAACTTGTCTTGCAAACTATTACAATAGATATTAAATTCATTAAATTGGTCAAATCTTTAATTAACCTCAAAAGTTTTATGGATCATTCATTGGTTATGAAAAGATATGGGGTCTACTTATATGTTAAAAAGAGGGTTGTTTTCCGACGCCGATGAACTCAACTTTTGGAGTTGTTATTTTTGTGTGAAAAGGGGACTATTTTCCTTGTTTTTAATGGAGCTTTTCAGTCAGTTTTTGGGGTGTTAAAAGGTCATTTTCGGGGCTGATTTTCACAGGTATATTAGGGTTGTTTTGGGGCTGATTTAGAGCTAAATTTTAGAGGTGCTTCGCTAGAGTTTGTGGCCACTTTTCATGGCTGTCTAGGCTGCATTTTAGTAGGATTTTTGGCTGGAATTGTGCAACAATTTTGGTGGTTGTTTAGAGTTGTATTTGCAATTATTTTATGATGGGGTTTTTGCTGGTGAGAATCAAAGAGGAAGAAGACAAATTTGTCTTCTTTGTGTTGAGCCAAAGCTGCAACTATTCCATCTTCTAACTCTTAAGTCCTCCCCCCACAAATTCTCTTCTCCGTTAGCTCTCCATCTCTTTTATAAAGGAAAATTTGGTGGTTACCTGATAAAGTGCAAATGAGTTGGTCTCGGCTGTGACATGAGATTGAGGTGAAGAAATATGTGAGAGTATATGCTAGTGACGTGAGGGAGTGGGAGTCATGGAGTTTGGTGTTTAGGTGACTGAAATAGGACTACTATATTTTGTTTATTGAACTCATTATTCAATTTTTATTTATATGTGACTGAAAAATATGCAAAACATGGTGCTACTATATGTTATCATAATCTTTGTTCTTCTCGACGAGCGATCAAAATTTTGTTTCTATCTAATTATTAATTTCTTTTATGTGTAGGAGAAAGTGGGTGATGCAATTGGAAATGGTGGCGGAAAGTCAATTTGATCGTAATGTGAATGCGAAGAATTTTTGGATAATTAAGATGTATTATATTCATGATACTATATGAATATACTCACTTTTGGAAAGTTTATTGTTAATGGGCATTTTGACACATTGTTTTATGAGTATGTGTATTCTTTTGGATTATTATTTTTGGTATTTATTAACTAATTTAGTTCTTTATATCATCAAAATATATGATAATAATGCATGTGCTTGAAATAATTGTAATTACATGATATATGTAAACTGTAAATTTTTTAAAAATTAATTTTTTTATAGCCTAGCCAAAATTGCCACGTTTTAAAAGTTTGGCCATTTGTATGTACGTCTAGCATATATATAAGCAAAGATCACGCTTTGTAGGTGTTCCTTTAAAAGCCGCGGTTAACAAGTGTGGCCTAAAAGGTAACAAAAGCCCCGCTTTTTGAGTGTAGCTGTAGGGTATAAAAACGTTGTCATATGGGGCGTAACAACGTTGTCTTTATTGACTAATAGGCCACGTTTTTAAGTGTGGCTTGTAAGGTAACATTTGAAAAGCGTGCCCTTAGGTCAAATGTTACGCTTCTTTTGGCCACCCCCAGAAAAGCGTTGCCTAGAGTTGAAAAGTGTGGCCTTTGACCAAAGACCACATTTTTTGCTAGTTTAGGCCACACTTTTCCGGGGTAATCAAAGGCGTAAAATGTTGTAGTGCAAGTTCCTTTACCTAAAAGGGTTAAAATCGGACCAATTCTGTAGATTGCATTTTCATTGGATATGCTACAAATAGTAAAGCATGTCGGTTTTTGGTTCATAAATCCGATAATCCCGAAATTCATGTTAATACGGTAATGGAATCAGATAATGCTGAATTTTTTGAAAGCATCTATTCGTATAAAACTGAATGCGATTCGTTAAGTGAAAGACCTAAACGACCTCTGGAAGAACCAAAGAAAAATACTCCAAGTGTAGAAGATCCAAGATGTAGCAAATGTCAAAGAACATCTACTTCCTTTGGACCAGATTTTGTGACATTCTTGCTTGAAAATGAGCCTCAAACTTTTAAAGCAGCTATGTCATCTTCTGATTCAGTGTTTTGGAAAGAAGCAGTCAATAGTGAGATTCAATAAATTTTGGATAACCATACATGAGAATTGGTTGATCTTCCTCCAGGAAATAAGCCTTTAGGTTCGAAATGGATCTTTAAACGGAAAATGAAAGCTGATGGCACTATTGACAAATATAAGGCAAGACTTGTTGTCAAAGGTTATAGACAAAAGGAATGCCTTGATTACTTTGACACTTACTCACCAGTAACGAGGATACTATCTATTAGGGTGTTAGTGGCACTAACGAACGTATATGGTCTTGAAATCCATCAAATGGATGTTAAAACAACTTTGAGAATTGAAGGAAAAGATTTACTTGGAATAACCTGAGGGTTTTGTGGTTCCTAGTAAAGAAAAAAAAGTATGCAAACCTGTTAAGTCGCTTTATGGACTTAAACAAACACCCAAACAGTGGCATGCCAAATTTGACCAAACAATGTTAGGAAGTGGGTTTAAAATCAACGAGTGTGACAAATGTATTTATATTAAAAATACTCTAGGTCATGAAGTTATTGTTTGTTTATATGTTGATGACATGTTGACAATGATCAAAAGTATGACAAATATAAATGCTACTAAGCGCATGTTTGCTAGCAAATTCGACATGAAAGACGTATGAGCTTCTGACGTGATCTTAGGAATCAGAATTCATAAGATTCCACAAGGTCTAGCATTATCACAGTCTCACTACATTGAAAATGTACTTGACAAGTTCAAGTATTTGGATTTCAAGATTTCCAAGACTCCAATTGACGTGAGTTATGCACTTCAAAAAACTGAAGGTGAAAGTGACTCACAACTGGACTATGCAATAGTATTGGGAAGTTTGATGTATATCATGAATTGTATGCGACCAGATATAGCATGTGCTATTAGCAAACTGAGTCGGTTTACAAGTAATCCCAATCAAATACATTGGATGGCAATGAAACGAGTTTTGGGGTATTTGAAACATACCCAAAATTATGCTTTGCATTATAACAAATATCCTTCCGTGATCGAGGGATATAGTGATGCAAATTGGATCATCAGATCATCTGAAGTTAAATCCACGAGTGGATATGTTTTCATAGTTGAGGGTGGATCAGTGTTTTGGAAATCATCCAAACAAACGTGCATCACATGTTCTACAATGAAATCTGAATTCATAGCTTTAGATAAGGTCGGTGAAGAAGTTGAATAGCTCCGGAATTTCTTGGAAGATATTCCATTTTGGCCCAAACCTTTGGCACCTATTTGTCCTAATGCAATTAATTCTTGCATGTAAAACACACACGCGTCCCTGTATTCCTTTATTTTATAGTCATTCCCCATTCATGTGGGAGATTGTTGGGATTTAAGCTTAGCGTAGCTTAATTTTAAGCTTGGTGTAGCTTAAAGAGGGTGAATGGGAAATGGAGGAAAAATGAAATATTTGAGTTTCCCTCCTCGGCAAAGGGACATTGTCCCATATTGGAGGAAGAAACGACTTTGGATGGGTATATACACAATTACTCTTCTTCTATCTCTTAAAGAGTTAAGAAGAAGGCAAGCCTCGCGTCGTCGTCGTCGTCGTCGTTGCTCAGCTCGACTTCGGATTTAGATTTGGTCAAAGATTGATTGACTAATCATTTTGGACAAAATTCCTTTCAATTATTTAATTAATTAACAAATTCAATCCGGAATAACCCATGACCCGCAACCCGGTCCGGTCCGTTTTCTTTCCTGGATTATATTAAATCCGTTTTCTAATTTTTCCGTAATATTTCCACCTGTTCCAACAGCTATGACTCTTCTGAAAGGTTATAAACCTTTTCAGAAACAGTGCCAAATGGGCTAAATATGCCTTGAATCCCAAAATTTTTACTTACAAAACTTTCTGATTATCTTCTTCTTCTTCTGCACAATATTTTCCAGTGTGTTTTACGACCATTGAGTGGTTCGCCGTCCACCAGAATTTTTGGTACCAATACGCTGGTGAGTTAAATCGTTCTATGCTGGGAGGATATATTCCAGCACCTCGGGTACTTGAGGGGAATATTTCCTTAAGGACACACTGTGTATTCAGTGGGCTCGATTTATTCCTATATTATTTTCCAGAATTTATTGTCGTTCTGGTTCTACTAACTTTCTGTTTCTGTTTTCCCAAAAAGTTTAATTGTTTATTACAGCAATACAGATTGAAAACACAAAGTTAGTTTGTGTGTGTATATATATATACCCTACACCTTTTTTCCTTCTTGAAATTTTCTTGTATTTACTATAAAAAAAATTATAAATGGAAAATAAACCCCCCAAAAAGGAAGAATAAGAAAAAAGGGAAAATTTTGAAAAATGAAGAAAGATGAAGAAGACACAAGTCGATTAGGCAAAAATGGAAAAAGAAATGTATGTATGTACTTTATTTATTTTTCTTTTTCCCTTTTATTTTTCGCTCTCTTTCATTTTTCTTCTTCTTTCTCTCCCCCTAATATGTTACTTCCTCCGTCACTAAGAAAAATTTCTTTCTAATTTTGCTTTTATAACAAAATAATAAATCTGCACACTACACTATTTTATATAAATACATACGTTCATTCAATATACATTCGGAATCCAGTGCATCTACATCTCTCCCCTTCTTCATTCTTCTTCTCTACTCTCTTCTTTTTCGTTATTAATGATCTTAAGAAAAACTGAAACTCAACATCAATATGCGAGTTAGCACACACTAGAGAGATGTGTAGGGAAAAAATCTTACCAAATAGAAATGTTATACTTAGGTCTTAACAAAAGTGAGATACAATATAGTTAAACCGGACCAATTTAAATACAAAATTACACCTGGCCAACATCTGCACAAATGAAATAAGGCCTTTCTAGATGAAAGCTACAGCATCAAGGAGCTTTCAAATTTCAGGATGCAAATCTCTGAAATCACCAATTTATGTTAGGATATGTTTATGAAATCTGTGCACCTACTATTCCGCTATCCTATACAAATGTAAACAAAATTCTTAAGACAAACGCAATCATGAATAATGTAGATCAACAGGAAAAACACTAAGCTTGTCTAATATAGACAGTCACATAAAGGCTGGCAAGAAAGTAAGAAAGATGATTTATAATTAAAGGAACTGCACATAAAAGTGAGCAAAAAAATAAAGTAAATACATATGTTTCAATGATGAAGGAATTCGACTCAGAAGAAGGTTGAGAAACGTTTGACGGTTTGAACAAAAAAAAAAGAGACGTTTCATAAAAGTTGTAATGATACATAATAATCTGGAAAGTGATTAAGAGACATAATAGATGTGAAATAAGAAAACTAATGCAGCGTTTCAGGAATTTAATTTTTTGGATTTATTAATTGAGTTAATTGTGTAAAAATCAGAAGAAAAAGACCTAAAATTCTGAATATATATATATATATATATATTTTATTTTCTCTGTAATTTTAATATAGAAGTTTTAAATTGCTGGAAGATCAAAGATGGCATTCAGGGTACGTAGTTTTATGAATAATTTTTTTAATGATTTTCAGAGGTGTTTCCTATAGACCTGCCGGGATACCACCCGACAGGGACATCGACTTCTGTATTGATTTGGCTCCGGGTACTCAGCCCATTTCTATTCCGCCATACCGTTTGGCCCCGCCAGAGTTGAAAGAATTGAAGGAGCAGTTGCAAGATTTACTTGATAAGTACTCAACCCATGTCTCGCCCTGGGGTGCGCCCGTGTTGTTTGTGAAGAAGAATGATGGATTGATGAAGATGTGCATAGATTATCGGCAGTTGAACAAAGTCACCATCAAGAACAAGTATCCATTGCCAAGTTATGATGACTTATTTGATCAGCTTCAGGGTGCCAAGGTATTTTCAAAGATCGATTTGAGGTTTGACTATCATCAGTTGAGGATTAGGGCATCCGATGTCTCTATGATAGTTTTTCAGACTC